CTGGCTCCGTCCAAAAGTTCATAAACTGCTAATAAATCAACTATTACATTTCAGTTTTTGTACAAATAACATATAGCAGGTTAAGAATATAGTTATAAAAGGCCTGCAGATTAATATCGTTTTTTATACAGAGCCAAACTAGCCTTTTTCAGTGCTAAGCATGGTGTTACACATTTTAGAAGACATTGCTGGGTTAATTACAAGTATAACCTGTAAGAAAGTTTGACAGCACATGAGGAAATAAAATCTATAATTCCATGTATGGTTTAATGATATATATTTAAGAGAGGGTGGGGGCTAAGCCAGATCAATATTATAGCTAATATCTGCGAAATAAAAAGTTTGTCCTTTAGTTACCAATACTCATTGCTTGCTTTCACTAATCACTTTCTTTTCTGTTTATCTCTTCTTACTTGGACGTATTTTGATTGATGGTGCTTTGATTACGTTTACAGTGTGATTTCTGCAGGGTGATTCCCCTCAGCTACCAGCGTACAGGATATCTGTCTGTCAGCGTGTCTGCTGGCTGCTGATATGCGATCCTATGTTGGCGCTGGTTGCCATGAGAGAGAAAAGGAGCGAAAGGGAGATGAAACTTGACATCTTGTTGGCCTCTGAACAGGACATTTGGAATTACCATTGATGGCAATGCTTCCTTTGAGGAAAAAGTCAAATGTTTTAATGGAGCATGGGCACACAAAGAGAGATTAGGGAAATGAGAGGAAGAAAGTTTTTATTGAACTCAACTCTGAGCAAAGCCATTGTTTTGTCATTTCCTATCTCTGGGGTGTTTTATTGGAAACACAGCAGAAGAGAAAACTGGCTGTCATATTGAACTGTTCAAAGAGTGTGTGTTTGGCCACCTCTAAAGTCAGGCTTGTTGTTTGTTTGCCCTTCCTGATAGGCTGGGGGTGTTCAGGTGTGTCCAATAAGGTGGAGCTGACAGTTGAGTTTCTGCTCAGTGATTGGCTGAAAGCCACTCAAGTTCAGGCTTTGTATTGCTTCAAATATGTGAAACCTTTTCTTCAAAAGAGAGTCAGAGGGAGGGGGAGAAAGTTGTCCGCTGCTCGTTGGTTTTTGAAAAGTACCTGACACACGTTTTCATTGGCTGCTCTGCTGTAAAACCTTAACTGAGCAGTAAAAAGTGTTGCGGGGCCAAAAATGGCAGAGAATCTTTTTTACAATGCCTTGTCGTATAGTCTTCCTGCCTTTATAATGGCAGGCCTCCCTTGAGCTTGTAACATTTTACGCTCTCAATTACCATTCTCTTTAGTCATGATAAATGTCAGCAGGGGGGAAATAACCTCGTCAGCTGAGTAACGGCTACTGAAGAAAGGAACAGCTTCAGGTTGAAAACTGTTTCTGTTGTTTCTTCTGTGGATCCAGACAGACACACACAAAAGAATAAAAGATAGCAAATCTAGATACATTTCCTGAAAGCAACAGCATATCAGAGAGTAATGTGTTCTCCTTTCAATACAGTGTTAGGAGGGCAGGAATCGTGTGAAGGGGGTGAAGTGTGTCTCTCTGGTGGGCTTGTCACCTCCCTGAAACCTGTCGCAGCTACAAATGTTTGTTTGTTCTGTTGTTTTACTGACTAGTGTTCTCGCTAACTGACTAAACACTGTTGTTGATTTTACACATTGGAGTTTGGCAGGGGTGGCCACCACAGTTGTCACCGTATACACTAAACTAAATAGTAATGCCATGTCTCAAATAGGAACCTTTGTGATATTTGAATATTCTTAAAGTAAATAATCTTATATAAGCTTCTTTTATAGTATTCAATATAATATAGATAATATGTATAATAGTATAAATATATAGGTGTTTGTGTCGTCTGGAGCTGTGTGTGGTTGTCCCTTAGCGACAGCTGGACAGAATGCGTGTCAACAATTCAGGCTGGTTACGACAGTCACAAACCACAGAAGAAGACCTCTGTGTGTCTGTGTGTCTGTGTGTTTGTGTGTGTGTGTGTGTGTGTGTGTGTGTGTGTGTGTGTGTGTGTGTGTGTGTGTGTGTGTGTGTGTGTGTGTGTGTGTGTGTGTGTGTGTGTGTGTGTGTGTGTGTGTGTGTGTGTGTGTGTGTGTGTGT